GGGAATGACCTTAATTAATTATTAAGAGCGGCTATTTGAATTTGGAACGGCTCAGCCGTTCTTCCCGCCTAGCTTAGCCGGGAATTTCGGCTTTGGAACGGCTTGGATTCACACGTCGAACTTTTCATGTGCCGAACATAATGCATACACCTTGCCTGAAAACCGCTGATGTTTCGATGTGTTTTGGTTCAAACTAAATTAAGTTCGACGTCTGAATCAACAGGTGTACTTTTGATAATTTGGGTCGGTCCAAATTCGAATTAAGTTCGGCTCATGAAAAGTTCGGCGTCTGAACTGGGCCATAGACCGTGACTAAATACCACGTTTTGCTAACTTTTCCACAAAGCATCTGGAGATCACTGCTGATAATTCAGCAATGCTACCTATTTTAAAAACTGTTTCTGAGTTTTAGTATTTGTCGGATCCCTGTATCTTAAACGTGGCATGGTTAATAAAAACAGAGCGTCAGAGCGTTTTGAATGAAAACAATCTGAATTAGCGTGACAACCTAATTTGTCTAACGAAGTTCGAGAATCGCACAAAGCACAGAAAGTTCGAAGTCGCTGTGGGAAAGGAAGATAAAAAGCGCAAGATATTTTTATATTTCTTTGCTTCCTAACCCTTTTTTTTTTAGCAGAATTCAGTTGAAGTTTTGAGCGGCCGGGTCTGGACTTGGGAAATAAACGCTGGCGAAGACAAGCTATTTTCGCAGGTTTTCAGAAAGTGATATAACGGGTGGTAATAGATAAATTTTCAGGATACGCCAAAACAAAATATATCAAAAGTAACGTGCATTTCTTACCCTTGAANCGAAGACAAGCTATTTTCGCAGGTTTTCAGAAAGTGATATAACGGGTGGTAATAGATAAATTTTCAGGATACGCCAAAACAAAATATATCAAAAGTAACGTGCATTTCTTACCCTTGAAGGATCCCTTAATGTAGGGATAATAACAATTTTTTTTACGTTTGGTGGTCCTTAAGCAACGAGCTTGTCAATTTAGGCAATTATCCGACCTTGCAACGCTCAAATTTAGGCGTTTTCCGGCTATGATTGTTTTGAGCTCTAAAAAAATTATTTTGACGTATTTCCAAGAACTAAAGTCTTTCCATTTACTTATGACCCAATATAGTTCACTGAGAAAAGTTTGAGGGAAAGCATTTTTCCAACCCGAAATGCAGTGGACCGCTTTTAGAGAGACTACCACTTAACAGTGAACAGTGAGAAGAAAAATTTTATCATCCCCTTCCCGATTTGAATTTTTTCTCAAAGAAAGATTTTCGAATAGTTTATTGTCTTGACTTGAAAAGAACTTCCTTAGCTGTCTTAGGTTTAGACGAATATAAGACCTTACCTGTTGCTTGTTATAGTTTAAACTTCAGTAGTAAACTTCAAGCTAAACGCAGATTGATTCAGAATGGATAATGGCAACGACAGTAAAGTGATTTCTCCACTCTTCAGAAACAATGCTATCGCGGTGTTTGGGAGACGCTGATTTATTTAAGGGTTATTCCACCTGCTTGGAAAAAACCTTTTCCGAGAAAAGCAATTTTCATATCATCCTTTGTGTTTCCTGCACGAACAACACGTGTCAAAAATCTCATAACATCAACGCACTGCCAAGCAGAAACGAATAAAGAAAACCATCAAATAAAGTCAGTTACAAAAGGCAAATAATGGTAAAGAGAATTTACACATTAGGGTTTGGGGTTCTAAAAAGGAAACACCATACAGAAACGCAAGCTTACGGATCAAACTCAAATTGGAGGACCGATAAAAGAAGGTCTTATCCGGTATCAAACCTTATTTTGTTTTGTGACGGTCATTTATGGCATGGTACAAAGTCAACATTTCGTTAGAGATTAAAAGTAAACTCTCTCCCTTCGGCAAACATCCAGAATTCGTTCCGATGTAAAGTCCAGCACCGTTAATAGATCTCCCACCTACTTGCTGCTCCATCCGATTGATAAATCTCCCACCTCCATGCTGTCCCATCCAGTTAATAAATCCCGACCTCCATGGTTCCCCTGTTCCCCACTCCATTAATAGATATCCCATTGATAAATCCCACACGTCCATGGTTCCCCACCCCGTTAATAGATCTCCCACCTCCTTGTTCTCCCATCCCATAGATAAATCCTCCACCTCCATGCTGTCCCATACTGTTGATGAACCGGCCACCTCCATGGTTCCCCACCCCATTAAAGATCTCCCACCTCCTTGTTGTCCCATCCAGCTGATAAATCCCACACCTCTTTGCTGTCCCATCCAGTTGATAAATCCCCCACCTCCATGGTTCCCCACCCCGTTAATAGATCCCGCACTTCCTTGTTGTCCCATCCAGCTGATAAATCCCACACCTCGTTGCTGTCCCATCTCGTTGATAAATCCCCCACCTCCACGGTTCCCCACCCCGTTAATAGATCCCGCACTTCCTTGTTGTCCCATCCCGTTGATAAATCCCCCACCTCCATGGTTCCCCACCCCTTTAATAGATCTCCAACCTCCTTGTTGCCCAGTCCTCCTGATAAATCCCACACCTCCTTGTTGCCCCATGCCATTCATAAATTCCCCACCTCCATGCTGCCTAACTTCGCTAAGAAATCTCCCACCTCCTTGTTGTCCCATCCCGTTGATAAATCTCCCACCACCATGGTTCCCCACCTCGTTAATAGATTTCCCACTTCCTTGCTACCTCATCCCGTCGATAAATGGCTCACTCAAGGCTGTCCAGTCCCGTTGATAAATCCCTCACCTCCATGGTTCCCCATCCCGCTAATAGATCTCGCACCTCCTTGCTGCCCCATCCCGTTGATAAATCTCCCACCTTCGTGGTGCCCAACCTCCCTAATCCATGCTGTCCCGCCCAGATAAAAGCAGCAAAACAGCCAAACAACCTTGTTAAGTAAAAATAAATAAGGTAGGGCTTATGTTCAGAAATTTTGGTAGAACTATTGACGAGAAGTTCAAGAAGAAGATCTTTTCGCGTGGCGTTTACTTTTAAACAAAATAAAAACAGTATTTTCAAATGCTAGAGTATTGGAAAGTTACCACCAAATACGAAAATGAAATGATTTAAAATGTTTTATTGCAAAAGCACTAAATGTTATAGGACATTTTCTCTCGCAGTCCGGTTTAGCCTGAGTTCTTCTCTGTATACTGACTTTTAAAATCATAATAGTTAGAATTATTTGGGATTTCTATGCCAGTTTCACGCAACGTTCATTTTTGAAAGTGCTGACAGAAGGTTTCGTTCTGTCACTTGGCAAATAAGAAAGTAGATTTATTGTCTTATCGCCCTGCAAATTGCTATTCATAATGTAAGCCTGATATCTAATGGTGATAAACTTATTGCCGTGTGGACATACAACAGCCAGGTTACAATACAAGTGTGTTCTAATGTTATGCTACGTTATAAAACTGACAAATATATATATTGACGAGTGATACCATTTCTGAAATTTCTGTAAAACAGCAGGATGTCTCTAACACTGAACGACCGCTACCCTTAAAAAAAAAACTTGCGGCTTAAAAACAGCAAGCTTTTAACCCAACTTGCAAAACCGAAGGAAAAAGCGTCGTACAAAGCGATCTGGGAACGCCAGGCATAGTAGTAGCTAGCTTCACTGGATCATGGGAGTAATGACCAATGACCAAAAACGAATCTTGAATCTCGTACCTAGATCCTGAATAAACTACGGTGTCTTCGGTAAACGGTTTCTCAGCAGCACAGACTGGTGAAAAGGCATTTTTTTACCACAGTGATTCTAAGTTTAGATCAGAAAATGGCAAATTCAGGGAGGAGGTTGTGGAGAGAAAATTGAACATATACACCGTGACTACAGCTCGTGCACGCAGCTCAACACTAAACTTATTCGGCTGTCAAGTAGGCCAAAATATGCCTGTCTCCTTTAAAACTCAGTCGGCCATGCTGGACAGCTAAGTTGTCCAACACCAAGACATCTCTTTTCCGCCAAGGAAATCCAACCGCATTCCTCCATCCTGTTGCCCGGATGTGCTCAATGACTTCCGGGTCGATTTCACTTCCGTCGCCGTAAGTTGTGTGAGTTGGGTACATGTGGTCAGGAATCGTGACGTCATCAAACATGGGTGATTCCTTGTAATATGTGTTGTGATGCACGTTTGGTTGCGTGAACCAAATTTTGCGGCCTGTGATTGGATGAGTAGCCAATGGCGGAAGTGTGTACCAGTAGTAAAGATTTCCGGTGTCCTTCTCCCATTCATAGTTGAACTTTTCTCGTTGTAAAAACTCCTCCACTTTCTACAAGATGATAAACAAACAA